TGGTTGTACGGCAGTGAAGCATCAGTGCCAACACTGATGTTGCTGTCATTGATGATGATGATGATGCTCCTCTGTGCGGAGGCCGAGCGAAATTGTACGTTAATCTCCATAAACGATCACAGCAGTTAAGTGAAATCAAGAGGAAACAAGTCGGATTTCACGGAAGAAGTCACTCACTTGTCCATATCGAAGAGATTACACAAATACAGTCGGATGCGCCTATCAGGGGTCTAAAAAAGATTCGATAGAGACCATCTTTATATCCACTTATACATTAGACAATATAATATACTCAACAAACTGCGCTAGCACGACAGTGCAACTTTAGCTTCAAATGAAACCACTTTGACGTTGGGTGCGACCACACAGTCAGCTTTTATACCTTTTGCTCTGTCAGTGTCTCAACGGCAATCCAAAGAACAGCTAGGGATACCCACGCAGGATTATAGTACTTAAACCGAACTGATCAAAACACCAAGTAGTATAGATAAACGAAGACTCGAATGTGGGGTCGGGTACATTCAAAGTTACAATACTCACATGATTGTGCATGTAAAAAAACAAAGGTGCGTCAGCATGACACAATCAAACACTACATCAACCTCCGACGAAACTCACATGGAACAGAGTAATTTGACGTCCATCCCTGAACTGAACGGTCGATCGAAGCATACGCAAATCCGGATGTTCTGTGACGAAAGCCTTAAGAGCCGTCTCGGAAAGCTCGCAGCCCACAACGGTACAGGATTTCTGGGAATACATCCAAGCTATGTCAAGAGATTTGCCACAGAGCGGCACGAAGACTAGTTTCTCTGGCGTCGACTCTGGACAGAATTTATCCCAAAATTGTTGTAAGTGCCTAGGTGGAAAGTGCGTAAAATGTCTAACTATGATGATGCCAACAAAACAGACTAACTGGAATTGATACAACCCCTTTTTTCTGGAGATACCTTTCTGGTGAGTAGCTATCTGTTCAGGCCTTGTGGATGAACCAGGCGAAATTTGTGAGCATTATTGTTGTAGAACCGTACATACCACCTAATAACCCATGTCGTGACACCAGCGCTTGCTAGAGTACAGACTACTATTAAAACTTTCCGGAATAAGACACCCCTGTATTTCTTTGAAGTGTTTCGATAAAATCCTTGAGACGAGTATCTTAGGCGAAATCTCCAGTTGAACCGAAGTTGCAATGCCCTGATGGATGCACAAGGCTTCAGGATTAATATCAAATGTTAAGCGCTCTTCGGCATACCTTGATTTTGCACTCCGTCGATGTACTTAGTGTTCGAGTCATTTTAGGAGTTTTATCAAGACATCTTAAGAAAATCACTGGAACGTCTCAACATATAGACGCTAAAGATTATGTAACTGGGTTCCCGTCATCTGGATGTCGTCTTTGGCAATTAGAGATGTTTTCTGATTCTCTCTACGACTGTTGTTCTCTTCCCACATTTAGCTAACCATGCTTTACTACCAAATTTCATGGAAAACAATACTCTTTTATGGCTTAACATTAGCATGTGGAGATTCCTCCGTCTGAATGATCGTGACATGTTAACTGCCTACATGCTGTGCTATGCATCCCGTTTGCACGGGTTTGTTCACAAGTGATCCTTTAAATGAAAGTTGATGGCCGCACGATGAACGCACTAGCTGGTAACGTTGAAGACTAAATATAAAGGTATGCATAAGTGTTTGCGACCAATTGGAAGATGGGTGGGTGGAACTTAGCAGTGAACAGAACGGCTTGGATGGATGCGCACCACTGGAAACGGCGACTGGACTATAACCACCAGTGTGTCTGAACACCTATGTGTCCGGTCTCATCACCACCGACTGCGGCAGTAAGTGCCCCAGCGCAGCAGAGCTTGCTGATTATGCGTTTCATCCTTGGATGCGAAGTCATGGCCCGATCAGTCCCCCGATCTTGCCGTCCGCATGGCAGTGCGAACAGGTCGCTTCGGGTAAGTCTCTAATGACACAAGGGGCACATAACCAAGAAAGTGAGAAAAACGTAGTATCTCCTGTTTAGTCGCCTAGTAAGACACCTCAAAAAGTATTTGACGCAGCTCAGTATTACAGACAACGCTCTGAAGCTGACGGTCAGACTGGAAGCTTTAAATGTATTAGCGCTCAGTGGCTAGGTTTGACACCATAGATATATAGATATATAGTATGAGTGTGGAGCGCACTATCAAAGTAGAACGTATATCGATGACAGTAACAATCTAGTGTTACACTGGTGAAGATGCGATTAGTAAAGTTCTGACAGGAAAACTATATTCTCTGATCTCTGTCCTGTTGACTGAACCAGAGTTCGTTGCCGTGTTTGGGCATCTTAGTTAGATGATCGCCAGGATATGGCAATGACCCGATCTTTCATACTGGTATATTCCTCTATTATACCCTGGCAACCTTTGTTATAAAAGTGCTTACCTGCCCTATATATGCTCACCATATTTACGCGTTTTCGCCGGACGAGACATCGCGGCATGTGTTCTAAACGCGACTGTATTTGGGCTGAATACGGCCGAAACTTGGTTTGCTCAATTCAGATTAAACTGAAAGCTTGTTAGGAAAAAGCACCTCTTCCTAACAGTCGAGCAGCTTATATCTGGAAACTTCCGCACATAACCGTCTGGTTTCACTAAAATTTTCTTCAGAAGTACTATATTTTGCAACAGTTGTTCGGTGATGTTCTTCTATGCTGTCTCAAGCTATGCGTTTGTGGTTGTGAGCTGGTTTCGGGTTCCCACCAGAAGTGATGATGTATCACTTTTGTACCATAGTAATTCATTTTCTGTCGTAACGGATCAGGGTTGTCGAAGACAACAGAAAATCACCCATACAACTTGTGTACACAAAACCGTATTGTGACTGCAGTAGGATGCAATTAATCTACGATGGGAGTAAATGATGAGGCAGACTCAACAAGCGCTCTTTAAGCACGCTTATTATTTCGGTCTGCCAGTTACGGTTCCTAACATATCATGCGTTGAATCTACAGAAGAGGAAATATATCGTGTTGGAATGAGTTGAGCGAAAGTCCTCCAGGGGATGGCACACGGTAGTGTAATTAGTCACCACGAAAAGCTCTAGGTTATAACCTCGTGAACGACCGGACATTTTGAGGGGATTTCTTTGGCACTTCAAATCTGTTCTCGACGGAAGAGGTAATTTCCTTTCAGTGATAGCATCAGTATTTTATTTGGAAAGCGAGTAAATGTACATATTACGTGGGGCTACTACGATAGCACAGGTAGGATTGTGTTCCCCTGGGTTACGACCACCTCCTAAGCATGGCCGAATTGATTATTTTTTCAAGTTGAAAAACAGCACAGTAAGGTCAGGTGTTTTTTTGTGTTCGGTAGGCACTGACCGACAACCTTAAACGGCGCAGCAACCTGACAGAAAACTACCCTTAAAACAAGGTCACGGTAATCCAGATGACCCAGATGAGTCCTTGTGGACATAAAAATCAATTCTGACCATCCACAGACATTCGACGTACGACAAGCTAACATACTATAAATTTCTGCGAGTGGAAGCGGTGAGAATCGCGAGTACACGCAACTCGCAATAACAAAGCAGAGACACCGATGAGTGGCACATAGCCGATAAAACCAGCAAAGCTATCTGTAAAATAAGCCACTCGAAATTCAACCTGCATTTCCGGAAAAGAATGCACCCGCAGAAGTTAAGACAATACACCAATGTATGACCCTTTGTTGTGTAATCAGGAAGGTAATGGAAGTATTTTACAAATTTGAGAAAACAGCCTCAAAATCGATGGATCTGGTGGTTGATCAGGTGGCTGTTGATCTATTCGTCGACTTTGGCCATCTGATCAATTACCAGCAAAAGCATCTGAGCTACCAGGATTTCTACATACTGACAACCGACAGATCGTATAGTTTTCATTATTCGGACAAATACTGCTTCGTGGATGAAAGGCATTGGTAAAACCCCTTGTTATCCCATCGGTTTGGAACACTTCTCAGTCCCAAAAACGCGGGCGATGGAAAAAGTACCCAAGTTATGAGACAAACAGTCACTGGCACGAGACATGTTCGACGAGCAAAGACAACGTGAGATTGTGCATGGTGCAAGTCAAAGAATGAACATCTAGATGAATGTCTTTTCAACTTGAACTGGTGAGGCTAGAAAATAGTTCATTTGAAAATAGACCTTTCAGCTTGAAAACCCCAAAGGAATCTACAAAACTGTCGGATTCGGCGATGGGTGCAAATTTTCTATGGAGCGTGGTACGGGCAACTGATCGAAAAGCACAAGACGTGTGCCATCCTGATTGATCGTGATTCCCGTGAACATTTGTCAACTATCTCGCGAGGGAATCTCGAGGCGGTGATGCACTACTTATTCCTCTTGCGATTACCAACCTGGGGACTTTTGCACTGCTCATAGTAGTGCAGTAATTCTTAGGCACAGTGCAAAAGTTGGTAGTGTGAGGAGATTTGGGATTTTTGTGGGATTTCGTCCTGTAAGTGAAGCCAATCTATGCTGAAAAGCCGGCTTTTCAGCATAGATTGGCTTCACTTACAGGACGAAATCCCACAAAAATCCCAAATCTCCTCACACTACCAACTTTTGCACTGTGCCTAAGAATTACTGCACTACTATGAGAGAGTTACCCAAGCAGCGTAAAGCGAGTGCAAACGCATCTCATGTATAAACAGGAACCAGATGTAAACGTAATACAAGAACGAGCATACAGAATAACATTTGAACAAACTCAATAAGACATTTTCCTAAAAGCAATTACCTGTGAACTACTGGAGAGTGCCAGCCAACAGTATTGGTATCCCACCTTCTGCACCACGCATCGGCGGAAAAGGTATCTGGGACATAAGACAACAGTCAATGGGCTGACCTTCCATTTTTCCAAGAACGGAGAAGTGGACACGCTCCGCTAGCTGGAGTTTACACTCACGCAGTTCAGCCGTTGAGTATGTTTATCGAAATTTTTTACCGGTAAGAATTACCTGAAAATCAAAAACAAACTGCTGAAATGAGTTAACGTTCGCAGCGACGACCTAAGTTGCGCAACAGAAACTAGCAAGATCGTACCAGTCGCCGGGAATTTTCGTCTTATTGCAGCTCATTGGGCACCAAAAAGATCATCATCATCAACGACAGCATGACATCAGTGCTCAACACCAATGCTTCAC